TGAGGGTATGTGATTAGGTAAATGTGCCTAAGTTTCGATTAACAGAATCTGTTTATCACTTATATTTGTTAATGCGGTAATCAGTAATTTTTGATACCAGGTCCTTTTTTATGTTGCATAGTGGACTTTTAAATTATCTTTTAAGTCAAGTATACAGGAGCGAACTTTCCAAGCCAAAAGTAAAAATAAACGAAGCAGTTTATTATAAGCGCTTCAGCGTTTGATGGAAATACAGTCTTAATAAGAAAAGACTGAAAAGTTTATTTTTCGCGTCAAACAACTCTGAAATGGGTAATGCTACATGAAAAATTTTGTGGTGCTAGTGGCACCATAGATAACTTCGAGGTAAGTGTCTAAGTCAAAATTCAGTAACACTTTCACATATGAACGTGGAAAATTGATGATCATCCATACCAAGTAGGAACAAATGTCGTGCGACCATCTCGCATCAAAAAAGCTTTTATGACCGATATAGCGTTTTTTATCTAGTTCATTTCTTTGAACCTTCCAATAAGAGAGAAGTGTTTGCTGAGTTAAAGTGATGAAAAGTGGCTTCTTTATGCCGGTATTTGCTGTGCAATCGTAGATGCTGAAGATGGGAATGCTTTCCGTATATATGCAGGCATGGGGGACCCCTTGAGTAGCATGACGCTGTGCCAAACATTCATCAAGACTGGTTCATTGCTCTACATCAAGGGCCTCTTAAGCAATTTTAATTGCATGATGTAGATGTTTTGGAACATAGGTGGATTTGAGTTCTCCTCACTTCTGAATCTCCACCAATTAGTAAAAATTTGTGCAATCAGTGTCAGAAGAGTATATAAAGGTGGTGCATAAGATGTCCACAATGGGCACTAGATTAATCCACAACATACTAATGGATTGTGCCTTGGTTGCTATTTATTCACGAATTTAGGATTTATATCCAAAGTACCTGCCAATAGCCAACAGACTTGTTTGGTGGGTGGTGCTCTCCATAAATGATAACAAGGATAATTTTTCTCAAATAAATTCATTCTTAATGCGCTGCCGCCATCACATCTAAACTTGCTGGAACTCACATGGAATGAACCACCTTGTGCTTTGCTGTAGGCAATTCCTGAGCTGGCAAGGCCTTTTCGCTTTAAGTGAAATAAGACCTTCAATTTACCCTCAAGAGGCAATGTTATATAACTTTGACGTGAATTGAAACCGAAATCCAGTAGTAATAAAAATGAAATCTAGTAGAAGCCTTGCAGTCACAGTACTTGTTTCATCATCACTGACGCTATACTCACCATGACTCAAAACGAACTTACGGTGTTGCTTTAGAACTCATTTGCTGTTGGAAAATGTCCGCTGATATAATTTCTTATGCAGATGGAATCATCACTTATAAACCGTTAGCAGTTTCCCCATTGCTTTCTGTCTAGGCTTATTGCGTACAATGCTTTAGTCAATTGTCCTTAATCATAGTATAAGATGGCATAGCAAGACTCCAGATGCATTTCCAGACCACGCCAAAATGGTTAGCCCTCACCGATGATTCACAAGGTATGCATGCGCTATGAACAAGCGTTTGCGTTCAAGTTTAGATATCATTCCTTTCGAAAAAATGTCCGTTTGTCCCTTTTTCAAATAGGCATAATCTACTGGCCTTGAATATTCGGTCGACTTGGTGCAGCCAGCCATGGCACAACCACATACACTACATCACAGCTAATCTTTTCTCCTCATTAGATAGCAAATTTTTTTATATATGGCACCTCCCTTTTGGGTAGTTCTCAATGTCGTTTCAAAAAGTGCCCCAAAACCTCGCTCCTGCTCACTTTTTTTAGAGTAATTGGGCAACTTTCATAGATGCCAATAAGGCAAGCTGCATCTTTTCACATAGCCAAATAATGGTTTTTTAAATTTAGCATCTATGTTATTTTCTGCTAATCTTACCATTGTTGATTTAGTGATTTACTGTAGTTTCTCCTATGCGCCCCATTCTCCAAAGCACTTCTATGATGATTGTTTAGAGTAAAAAACAAACATCTACATTCACTCATATTGCCATTGCGTGGAAAAGAGTTTATTGAAGGTCAAGAAAATTTAAGGCCAAATAATTTGCACACTATAATCATCAGCATATAGTCGCAAATTTTAAGCCTAGTGAAGTGTTCCGCGCGGTGCGATGAGCTGAGGACTTGGCCTTTGCTGACTCCTTTTACCTTTTCCAAGGTCCTTAAAGAAGAGATCTGATTCTATTTAGCATCTGCTATCTTTATGATGCAAACCATGCCAGCCATTTTAGATCACTCCTTTTAGCATTTTTTCTCGGCCCTTCCACTCTTACCATTTGGCTACACTGTCTCAATAAAACGCACATGCAGGCCTTTCGCTCATTCCCGTTGCGAGTGCATAAACGCCTCCTTCTTTGTTTGACCAACGTGGATAGAAGAGCTGTACTCATTAGAGAAAGTCACACATAGGCCGCTTGTTTTCTTTTACCATTAGGAGGCTGCTTTGGGGAACTTCAAGACGCAAAGTGCTGATTTCTGTGCTGTTGTCTGCCATGATCACGACAAGCGCCTCTCTGGATCTACGACTTCATTCTCTGTTTATCGAATATTTGCACGCAGTGCCTCCGAGTGGCATTATCTCCAAACAGCTGTCGACTTTTGGCTCTCGTCTCTTTCGCTACTCTGCTTCAGTGTGGGCGTGACATTGCTCTTTGCATGAGTCAAGCAGATATGATATCTACAGCCATTGGTGCCTTGGGGGCTTTGCTGAGCACGGCGCCGTCACTCTCACAGCCTTGCATTAAGTGATGGTGCCTGGTGGTGCGGTTTAGTGCATTTAAAACAGCAGTATCCACCATTTTCAAAAAAATCCTATCAGTCACACAATCCTTCTAGTTCTAATCAAAGTAAATGCTGTATATTAAAGCGCGAAGGTAAAAATTTCCTATTCATTGTGCGACCCAAAGGTGCCACCTAACGCGTAATCATCAAAACACAGAATGGAATATAAT